CTAAATAAAATATGGAGTGATGCCAAAAGCGACAAGGACGCAAAAAGTTGCAGTCGAACAAAGGCAAACTGAGCGTTTGGTCAAACAGATGGCTTTTAAAGTTTAATTTGTCCAAGTGCGTGATTCTACATCTAAACGCCGGCCGAAATACCTTTCCCAAACATCAGTAATTTATTAAAAGGATGGCATTAGACGATGTACAAAGACACAGAGACCTGGGTTTATGGGCGACCACAAATCCAGTGCGGACGCTAAAGAGGCCTTTAATGTTATCTACCGGGCACGGGCACACTACTCTAAAGGCCTGCGCAAACGGGTGCTAGCTACAGCCGAAGCATAGGTCATTCGACTAGCGAACTCAGCACCCTGTTTTCAGAAGACGCTGACACAAACAGCCTGTCTGCCCTGGCCGACTCCAGACGCTGATCGCACGCCGTCCCGACGCCCTGAGGGCAGTTAACCGCACTCACAGCGCTTAAAATCGGACCGGAACTTCTCTCCTTCCCTCCCTCTTCCACCCCAACCACATCGCCGTTATCACGCTGACTACGTCTTGCGGGCGACGTGGGAGCATGGAGTCCGATTAACCCTGACCCTGAGACGCATTTACATCCTGTCTACAATTATACTGATCATTACTCATGTAAATGTATCGGCCTGATGATGAGTTTCCGAAGACAAACATACGCCAACGGACCGTTTAATCTAATATCATCATAACACTGCAGTAAGTTGTTCCAGAGGGCAGTTAATACTTTACATTGGATCAAAAGGGCGTTTAAAATAGTTCCTGCCCTCGTCGTCTTTGTAAGACGGCACCTGGAATATAGAATGCCAGCCGCCTCACCATGGATGAGGAAGAATACTGACTTACTCGATCAGGTGCAACGCAGAGCAACGAAGATGGCCGATAGCCTAAAGCATCTGTCGTGCCAGGGGAGGATGAATATGCCTAGCTTATTCTCTCTAACCTATAGGCAGTTAAGCTGCGGTCTACTATGGACATTCCGGATTGTCCGTGGCCAAGACTCTTAGTGGGAACGAAGGACTTCTTGGATTTGCCAGTACAAACCAATTTCGCGATCATTCTTACAAAATCAAGAGCAAACGCACTTGTCTAAGCCGTACGAAGTTCTCTTTCATTCAACGGGTTGTCCGACCGTGGGACTCGATACCAAGTTTGAAAAAAACTTGTTCACGTAATCTTCGACAAAAACAGACTTTTACAACATGACTACGGACATCCAGCCCCGTAAAAAACGTTGTCATGCCCAATCTTTCTGAACTGACTCACACTGAACAGCTGCGCATCCTTATTATTGCGGTTCCATTGAGATATGGACACATTCTAAGTGTTTCCAACTTTATTTTGGGTGCGAATACGCGAAATCCTCGTACATAAATTGGGTCATCAAGGGCTGTGCATCCAACCATTCAAATTGAAATACAAAATACAAATACAAAAGGTAAGCTTATTTGTAAAGCGTATACCAAATTCCTTCAGGGTGAAGCATTCTGTGAATTGATTATTCTGAAAAATTGTGGGACCAGGAAGTGTGTCAGGACTAAAGTGCATGAAACTACATTTGGATGATGAAAACTCCATCTGCAATATTGAGCCCCATCTGCTTAAGCGTAATAAATCGGTATTAATTTTTTCAACACAAACATTTTCGGTGTCCCTACAATATGAGTAAACACACTTAAGGTGATCGGCGTAAATAAAAGTTCGCAAACTTCTGATTTCAGTCGAAATATCATTGACGTAAAGAAGGAAGATAAGCGGACCCAGAACCGTGCCTTGAAGCACTTCATGCGTGATAGAGTGAGGTGTCGAGTAATTATTACCGACCATGAATTTCTGATATAGGTTGGATAGATAGGACATGATGAAGTCGAATAGAGGCGGCCGGATGCCGACAGCCTTCAATTTTACTATAAGACCTCTATGGGGCACCTTGTCTAAGGTTTTGCTAAGATCAAACTAAATAACTACCACTGACTGTTTTCCCTTCCGAGGATAAATGATTAGATTAAGAAATGCCAAGTGAAAAGTTTCGCAGGATCGTTCAGGTGAAAATCCATGCTGATTAGATCTCAGAAGCCGATTAGCTAGACAGAAGTCAAGAATTTCATTGAAAATAATCCTTTGAAGAAGCCTTGTTATAGACGCTGTTTTGTGCACGCCCCAATAGTAATTAAGATTCGACCGAGATCCAGACTTAAAGACGGGAATGATAATTGACGTTTTCCATGTTTCAAGAATGAATCCTTTTGAAATATAAATCGAGAATAAATAACTAAGCAATATGCGAAAGTCGAATGACTGTTTAATAATCGAATTTGGAATCCCGTCCGTTCCTGAGTAGTGTGAGTATTTCAAAAGACTTATGTATTTCTTAATGAGATCTGAGGAGGCATCGATTGTACTCAGTGTCCTATCTAAAAGTGAACGAAAGAAAGGGACCGGTTCGGAGTCAGTATGAAGGCGTTTTGTAGAGAAAGCACTAAACAAATCCGCCTTGTTAGTGTCATCGATGAGGAGGACTTTGTTATCATTTAGCGGGGGTGGAAGTTCGTGACCACGGTACGGAGTTGTAGGATTACAGGCTTTCCGACGACAAAATTTAAGAGGCAATGCGCAGGCCAGTTGCTGAGTCTATTGAGTGGTTCTTGAAATGCTTGTCTGTTTGCGTCAGATCTAGTGTCTTTCCACAGTTCAAAATCGTCAGCTCGTCATAAGCTGTCGGTCTTCTGACCCAGGCGTTTCCTGAGTATAAATAATAGTCAAAATTTTGATGGTTATTTGCAATCCGTTAGTAAAAACAACAGCTGGATTTTTTGACTTTATGTAGTTTTAATATTCCATATTTATGACAATTGTATTTAATATCAGTCTACACGCGCTGCCAAAGAAACATTCGGCACGATATTGGGCTGGCAGTGAAAAAATCTTGGGAAGGAAATATGGGTGTTAATGTTTTTGGATACTTCGGATGGTCCAGGAGAAAAAACTGCTGACCGTGAAATGACGTCAGTCCAGAAATGAAACGGCAAATACTGCATCGGATTTTTCCAGTTCTATTCCTTTTCATGGACGTGGGACTGCGCCGAACAGAGTGCACTGGGAGAACAGTTGCTTGCTGTCGGCTGGAAAAATTATCCGGCCCCACAAACTGAGACCGAGGAGAGGTATCAGAGACCACAAACTTCACCACTATGAAAGACTAATTCGGCGGATTTAGAACCCAAAAGTTGTGAGCACTATTCTGAATGCATAAAACGAGCGATATTTCTCTTAGGCAAGGAATAATTTTGCAGGATTTTGCATTCCTGTGTAAATTATTGCAAATTGCAGTTGTATTCACAGAAAAAAATTACGATATTTAACGACGCGTGCAGTAAATAAATAAATAAATTTTAATTTAATGCCAGTTTACAGGCATTGTCAAGGGAAGCGAATAAACACAAATCCGACCAGCAGTGAAAAAAAACTCCTGAGCTTAAGGCATAAAAATATAGTTGATGGTGGTTTTTGTGGTTTGGAGGGCTCAGGAGAAAAAACAGTCGGCGGTGGTAGAATATCGACCGTCAAGAGGGGGGAGGTTGCACGGTATCGGAGATTATCGGACGTCCATTCCTTTCATAAAGTTGGGGATAGTCAAAGTAGAGGCGTTGAGGAACAGCTGGTGAGACCGGCCATAGTGTTCAGAGACCACAAACGCCATCGCTACGGTACAGTCGATCAGTAGATTCAGCACCCAAAATTTGTGGAAGCTTTTCTGAATGCAAAAATCGAGTAATATTTCTCTTAAATAAAGGATAATTTTGCAGAGTTTTCACACTCATTGGTAGTTTATTCCGAATAGCAATTGCATTTACAGAATAGAACGGACGATATTTAACAGTACGTGCCAGAGGCAGAAATAAGCAGACCTCACGGTGACTGTTTCGTTGTGGGTAGATATGATGACTTAAAGAAGTGAGTAGGTTAAATGTGTGATAATATAAGAGTTTAAATATCAAAAATAGTCCCTTTTGTAATCTACGGAACCATAAAGGATCAAGGCTCGT